AAGCAAACTGTGTAGAAGCCACTAAAAGGCAACAGGCATCACCCACGAAAGCAATAGCAAAATCAATGACAGAGAGAGATGACCACACTGTGGAAGACAGAACAGAGGTAAGGACATTCATGTCAAATAGGTACAGGGTAGCATTAAGAACACAGCCTTGAGGTACACCTTTAACCTGGAAAAAGCCAGGGGAAAGGCCATTATTCAGCCCAATACAGAAGTGTTTTTCCGACAAGAAATCTATGCCTCAAAGGCCTAAGGAATGAGCTTAGGTAGTATTGTAAGTACACAAATAACCCACTGCTGCCACTGCTACATCTCCTCCCATTCTACCACTTCCTTCCCCAGTCCCCTTGCATATAAATTCTGGCTCCCTCCGTCTTACTTCTGTGTGACTTTTAATGGTCCAAGTCGGATTGAAATATCATCGTAAGTTTTAGTCTCCTAAGTGCAGGTTACAAGTGTATTGTTCCAGCCACAGTATTGTGGCTTTTTATTCTTTAGTGTCATAAGCTTTTTCAAGATGCAAAAAGGCTGCTATAATCTACTGATTATTAGGAATGGCATCACGAGCATATGTAGCCAAGTGGATTAAGGGGTGATTGGTAGAATGATCCTTAGAAAACTAAACTGATTAGAGGGAAGATTATTATTATTATAATCAAAATGAAGCGCTAAGCCACAAGGGCTATACAGCATTAGAGGGAAGAGAACTTCAGGTTTCCAAGAACCATACTAAATGTTTGATAACTAACCATTCCAGCAATTTACAGATTGCATTGGTGAGAGCAATAAATCTATAGCGGTGTCATGGCTTTCGTATAGGTAAGACAACAGTGGTCTTCCACTGAATAGGAAGAATCCCAGGGATCAAACAGGATTGGAAAGATATAAAAGTACAACAAATGTCATAGGGTGTAAATGTTAAAGTACATAGATAGATGTCCTCAGGGCCAGCCACTGTTGCTTGGCATGTGGATAGTGTTGATGTGAGCTTGCAGACCCTGAAGGGCATGTTAGAAGATTCCACAATATGAGAAGTAAAACAGAGGTATCGGCTCCTTTTAGAGTTTAAAGGAAAGAAATGAAGGAGAGATACACACATAAGGTGATATTGAACTGCCATAGCAATATCAACAAGGTCTGCAACCAATCATACTAACAGAAGTGGGATCTGGGGAGTACTTAGCAGACAACTTCTGTACCTTTATCCAAACCACACATAATAGTAGTGGTAACAGTGAACACAGAGCACTGAAACAGGTACATTTTGTTGCCCAGATAACATGACAGGCATTCACTCTTACCTGTTTAAAAGCTAGGAATCATTCTATAGTTCTGTTGGAAAGTAACAACCCCATGAAGTGCAAGCACATTCAGAAGACCATTAGGAAACACACATTTTAAAATGTTTACCCAAGGTTTGTGGGATTGCAATCAATGCTGCAGCAAGAATAGTGAAGGTGAAAAGGTGCAACAACTCATCTGAAGAGGATGAAGCAGGTGGAACATCAGGAAAATGGAATGATGTGTATAAAGTTCCCAGTCTGCCCACTCAAACTGTCAATGGGAGCAATGAGGGAGTAGGGAAATTATCACTCTCATGAAGATTAGATAATACAGAACAGTTGAACTCAAGTGCTATAGAAGAGGATATAGAGATCTATACAGGAAAAAGAATGAGTGCAAGGATCTAATTGTGTGAGGATACCTGTGTTAAGACAAGTAGAGGAAAAGAAATGAGAAAAATCTCTTAACTGGTCTCCACGAGTCACAGTGAGATCTTCCATAGAACACATGATAAGTATTAAAATCACCCACTGAAAGGGATGAAATAGGTAAGAAAGAAATTGGAAATTTAATTTCAGGGATAGATAGTGGGCATGAGGGCATAGATGCAAAGAGCAGAGTGTACCACTTTACCATATAGACTTGCACTCTCATCAGGAAATGGATTTAGTTGACCAGTACATACTGCATGGTCCAAATTGTTTTCCATTCCAAAGGATGGCATGTTAGAAACAGTGAAGTCAATGATATTAAGAGAAGCCTTGCTTCATCCCAGAGCCCAGCCAAAAAAACCTTGACCTTTACTTCCCAGCAACTAGATACACTTGCCAGCCGTCTTGTTGGAATCTTATTATATCCCTGGAAGAACAATAGACTGCTGGTGTGGGACTATACTTTGAAGTCTACAGTGTTAGATGCCTACATACTATTTAGCAGTGGTCAGCAGGTGGTGCTACTGATCACAGGGAAGGAACCAAGTTCAACAAATCAAAGACAACCCACTAGTACTGCTTCATCCCAAGAGGAGCAGAGACCCTTGGCCTTCGTAAAAGCATGCCATGGGCTGCCACATTTTTCTTCCAGTGCCTCAGTGTGACAAACCAGACAGGAAATGCCTTGGGATCCTGGCTAGCACCTGAAGAGCTCAAAGAGCTCCATAACATAAATTTCTTTATACCTTGAAGTCCTGCATGAAAATTCCTTAACACACCAATGTATATGTAATGTATTTCAACTTAGTATTTTATACCAATCACATTCTTTCTTTCAACACACCGGTCTGCATCCCACCGAGGCAGGGTGGCCCAAAAGGAAAAACGAAAGCGTCTCCTTTTACATTTAGTAATATATACAGGAGAAGGGGTTACTAGCCCCTGGCTCCTGACATTTTAGTCACCTCTTACAACACGCATGGCTTATGGAGGAAGAATTCTGCTTCACTTACCCATGGAGGTAAGAGGAAATAAACAAGAACAAGAACCAGTAAGAAAATAGAAGAAAACCCAGAGGGGTGTGTATATATATGCTTGTACATGTATGTGTAGTGTGACCTAAGTGTAAGTAGAAGTAGCAAGATGTACCTGAAACCTTGCATGTTTAAGAGACAGAAAAATGGACACCAGCAATCCTACCATCATGTAAAACAATTACAGGCTTTCATTGTACACTCACTTGGCAGGATGGTAGTACCTCCCTGAGTGGTTGCTGTCTACCAACCTACTACCTACACTAATCACATTCATCTTCATCAATGTATCTTTCAAACTTGTGTACTTGGGTCAAGGTTTTTAGTGTTAGGGGATTAGACATGCAGCAGGCTTGTGTGAACATGTTAGGAGTGAAAGGAGACAAGTATTTTTTTATGATTTGATGCTGTTGGAGTGAGAGTACGGTAGGATTTATGAAGGGATTCAGGGAAACCAATTAGTTGGACTGAGTCATGGAGGTGGAAAGTATGGTGCCTTCACTCTGAAGTAGGGGTGTTGTGAATTGGAGGATTATCTCACATATCATGTTGGTGCCCTTCTGACAAGACAGTGACTGAGTGACAGTGAAAGTGTTTTCTTTGTCATATCACTCTGCCTCAGTGGGAGACAACCAGTGTTACAAAAAACAAAAGATAAAAGATATTAAGATGCTTTTGTGGTAGTACTAGTTTTCAGTGATATTCAGTTCATAAAAAACACACTAATTTTAAAAAGACTGGCTCTCACGTTGAATATTTTTACTCTCTTTTTTTTACAATACTTTCTCATCCAACCTCTCCACCTTATTAATCCAGAAGTGAAAAAATGAAATAAGTACACTTTTTTTTTAACCCTTTGACTGTTTCAGGCCCCTCTCTGAAACTGTCATTCTATGTCGCTCAGTTTTTGAAAAAAAAAATTATTTTTTCTTATGAAATGATAGAGAATCTTTTCCCGATGGTAATGACACCAAAAGTTCGAAATTTGGTCGAAAACTCGTGGAATTATGCTCCCGCGAAGTTAGCGGTCTCGGCGACATATGCGTATCGGCGATTTCGCCGACTTTGAGCCCTATTTTCAGCCAATTCCATTGTTCCAGTTGACCAAACTCATAGCTATTACTTTAGAACTCCATTTTATCTATCAGCTGAGTACAAGAAACCTCCCATTTACTAATTTGGACTACCCAATATGGTGGTCAGAAATTGGCAATTTGGCCAATTTCACACAAAATAAAAAAGATGCCAATTTCAAAATAGGGTCCAGAATAAACAAGGTAGACATTCGTGGCACTAAAATAACATATGCTCTGTTCATTAGTCACATCTCTAGGCCCCTCTTATATTATTATTGCTTTCTATTTGATTTTTTATTCATACAAAAAAAATACAAAATTTACTGTTATGCAGACGACTGCATTATTGTAAAAATGGTATAAATAATATCAGTGCACTAGTGAAAGAATATTAGACTCCCCGGTTGACGTGTATTGGTCGCGTGGTGTGATTTATTTACTCTTGAACATTGGTAAAAATCGAACATTCCCGCTACTTTGAGCTCAGTTTCAAGGTCGTTTTCATCGTAAGATGAGAAATAGATCGTCTCTATTTCTGTAATATGTTTTTCCATTTTATCACCTAAACCATGAAAAACGCGAATAAACGATTAAATACTATACGAAAATACACCTCAAAGTCGGCGTTTTATTCCAAAAAAACGATCAGTTTTTTTTTTCTCATTACGCAATGTGTGCTGCAGGATTTTTTTTATGTGGTGCACACTGACCACACAGACCCATTCTCTCACATGTGGGCCTACCAGCTTTCTCCCACTTGATTTGAAGCCGCTAGAATTATTGAGTATATATACGTCAGAAACATTGGCTCGTAAGACGTATTTATACGTCGAAAACAGTCAAAGGGTTAACACACTGGCTATCTCCCACAGAGGCAGGGTGACCCGAAAAAGAAGAAACGCTTTCACCATCTTGCCAGAGGCATGCTGACAATATATTCAGATATCCCTCCAGACTGCAAATATCACTACCCCTCCTTCGTATGTAATACTATTTTAGTTGGCTTGAGTAATATTACTTAGCTTATCATTTGCATTATTGGTAATAACATTTTAATATTATTCATAAATATCATTCTTACTCTATATTTGTTGTATGGTAAATAATGAAAAAAAAAAAATGGTAGTATACAACATGAACTTAAGGTTGTTTAATAAAGAGAACAAAAGTTTAATTAAGTGCTTTATTATCAGGTAACAGAGCAGTACTGAAATTAGTGTTTACCAACTGAATTATGTATTCACAAATATGAAGAAAGACTGCATTAATTACAACCAGTAATTCATTAATACAATAGCAGATTATACTCACAAAGATGAGTTGCTTCTATTTTCATGCAAAATATGCAAATAAAAATTTGTGCCCATGCTTATTTCTAGCAAGCATTGCATGCACTTGAATGGCAAAATAAATAACATGAACTAGTTTGTCTGACTGGTTTTAATAATACTCTAGTGCTGCTGTACAGAATATCTCAGTACAACATATTTGAATAAGAAAACAAGTTGTATGACAACTAAATAACAGCAATGTTTCAAACACAGCTGGTTTACTTTATAAATTATAGTGGTTTTTCATGTTCTTAAAATTTTCTCAACTAATATAAAAGCAGTCAGCTATAACAATATTTGAACATTGTTAAAATCATCCTGATGATCTTACAGTTAAGCTGAAACCTTACTTTTATCTTAGGAATCCACAAAACTAATACTGTACTAGTGTACAACAATATTTGAGAAGAATAAATTCAAGATTATGAAAATCCAATTATTTTCTCAACTATAATGTATTTTCTGCTCTTACACAATATTAATCACCCATTAAAAATATTTTTAAAACTTTTCTTCTGCTCTTGCTTTCATTCGATTGATAAATGCTTGACCTTTATTTTTTCGGAAAGCCTCGTATGGATCTGTCTGAGCACTTGGTACTCCCAGGCCTCGGAATCTTTCTTGTGGTGTATCTCGGACATCTGCAGCTGCAACTGGGTCACTGATCCCTTGTTCCTTAACTCCTAGACCTGAGCCTCCCCATCCCATCTTTCTCAGCATCTGATGACCCTTATTGCTTTCATCCAATCGCTGCTCCAACTTAGGAAAAGCACCTCCCCTGTGAAAAGAAACAAAAACTTACAGAAACAGTCTTCGCATATTAATTTTTTCAACTCAAACAGCCTTCTCCCTCCTAGGCATGGTGATCCCAAAGAAGAAAACATATTCAAAATCATTTATTCAATCATCGCATTTCCAGTAATGTATCGACATTACAATTGGATTATTCTGACTGCAACTTCTCCATGTAATGAAAAAGGACACAAAATGCCAGGAGCAAGAAGCTAATAACCCTTATTGTATTCAATTACTAAAAAAGTAAAAAAAGAAAATTTTGAAACATATTCATGTGTTTACATAGTCCATTTTTCTGTCTCATGAACATGCAAGATTTCAGGTAAGTCTTGCTACTTCTACTTACACTTAGGTCACACTACATGTACATGTACAAGCATATATATACACACCCCTCTGGGTTTTCTGCTATTTTCTCTCTAGTTCTTGTTCTTGTTTATTTCCTCTTATCTCCATGGGGAAGTGAACCAGAGTTCTTCCTCCGTGAGCCATGCGTGTCATAGGAGGCAACTAGAATGCCGGGAGCAAGAGGCTAGTAACTCCTTCTCCTGTATATATTAATAAATGTAAAAGGAGAAACTTTCACTTTTCCTTTTGGGCCACCATGCCTCAGTGGGATATGGCCAGGTGTTGAAAGAAAGAATAATAATAATAATTTTCCATGGGAAAGTGGAGCAGAATTCTTCCTCCATAAGCCATGTATGTTGTAAGAGATGACTAAAATGCCAGGAGCAAGGGGCGAGTAACCCCTTCTCCTCTATATACAGTAGGGCCCCACTTATACGGCAGGTTAGGTTCCAGGCTACCGCCATAAAGCAGAAATCGCCGTAAAGTGGAACATCCTTTTTTTCCACTTATAAATGCATACAAATACCAGATAACAAGTTTACACTAACATATATTAAGTAGCAATAGAAGTAGGCATCAAGAAACTATAAAAAAGTAAAATACACACAGTGCACTCATTATTTATCTTAAAATATTTATAGTCTTAATCTGGGGTGAGACAAGTAGTATTTATTGTAAGAAATCAAGTGTGGTATGTATGGTAGTCAGCCAGGCTACCAAACCAGGCCACCCCACCTACACATAATATTCTATTACATTTAAGCATCCCAGAGCGATAAAATGCATATACAGTTTACTCATTACTTACCTTAAATCATTTGTATTCTTAATCTAGGGTGAGATGAGTAGTATTTACTGTAAGAAATCAAGTGCAGTATGTATGGTAGCCAGCCAGACCACCCCACCCACACATACTATTCTATGATATTTATGCATCCCAGAGCGATAAAATGCATATACAGCTCACTCATTATTTACCTTAAAATATTTCTAGTCTTAATGTAGGGTCAGAGGTGAGTAAACAAGATAAAATGAATAAATGAGAGAGAGAGAGAATGAGTACATGAGAGAGGACAGGTGCAGAGTTATGTAAACAAACCAGGCAAAAGTAAGTTTTGTAAACAAAGTGTACATGTCTGGTTTGTGTACAAGTTACATTAGGTACAAGTTGTCTCTACATTGATATGGTAGAATAAATAAAGAAGAACACTCTCATTCTCATGTAACACCATTTTTAGAAGAAATGACGCTCTGAGTGAAGGCAATGGAAATAAGTCACTCTGTCTGACTTTTTTGGGTTATCCTAGGTTCTCTACACATATGCTGTTATGTATGATAATCTATGTAACTGTATTTGTGTATACCTGAATAAACTTACATACAAAAGGAATAATTTTCTACAGTTACCCCCAGTAACACATTTTCTCTGATGTTGGACTAGAGAAAATGTTATTCTTGCCATCACTCGTAAAAGTCTGGCTCCCACATTTCATATTTACGTTTATCATCTTTTTATGTTATGTATCGTGTTTATTATATCATGGATGGATTAATGAAAATGTGTATATTAACGTAATATATGACATTTAATGAGACTCGGTGATTATTAGTATTATTATTAGTATTTCTAAAATGGCGTCATTTGTGCAAGTCGTCTGGCTACCACATCTCATATTTATGTTTATTTATTCTACTGTGGGGTGTATTTATCATCTTTATATGTTATGCATCGTGTTTATTATACAATTTTGAAAAAATATCATAGATGGATTAATGAAAATATGTATATTAACGTAATATACGACATTTAATGAGACTCGATGATTATTATTATCATTACTAATATGATGTCTCGAGTCATAAGACACTCTTATTGATTTTAATGTGTACCTGCATGCACAGTATGTAAGTTTATTTAGGTACAGGTATACATAAGTATAATTATCAGAGTATATATAAAATATCCTAGGTAGTAGGTTGGTAAACAGCAACCGCCCAGGGAGGTACTACCGTCCTGCCAAGTGAGTGTACAACGAAAACTTGTAATTGTTTTACATGATGGTAGGATTGCTGATGTCTTTTGTCTGTCTCATAAACATGCAAGATTTCAGGTACGTCTTGCTACTTCTACTTGCACTTAGGTCACACTACACATACATGTACAAGCATATATATACACACCCCTCTGGGTATTCTTCTATTTTCTTTCTAGTTCTTGTTCTTGTTTATTTCCTCTTATCTCCATGGGAAAGTGGAACAGAATTCTTCCTCCGTAAGCCATGCGTGTTGTAAGAGGCGACTAAAATGCCGGGAGCAAGGGGCTAGTAACCCCTTCTCCCGTATAAATTACAGTGGTCCCTCGCTTTTCGTAGTTCTCGGCAATCGTAAATTTTGCCAATCATAGGGGTATTTTCGTATAAACATGGACTCGCTTTTCATAGGTTGACTCGCGAATAGTGGTTTGTCCAGGACGCGTACGCACGGTGTGAGCCGGGGTGGCCTCCCTACCCAGCCAGTCTGGCATTGTTTACCAGTGAGTGAAGGTCCCCTCAAGTGCTCCTACAATATATTTCATAATATTCCACTCATTTTAGTGCTTGCAATTACTAAATAAGCTACCATGGCTCCAAAGAAAGCTCCTAGTGCCAAGCCTATGGTAAAGAAGGTGAGAAATATGTACAATGACAAAGTCTTGGGCCATTTTAGGGAAGTGTTAAAGAGATGCCAGAAACAGAGCTCTCTCCACAGTTACTTTGCGAGACAGGACTAGAGTGACTCTCAAGGTGGTCCTAGTGGCATTAAGAAACAGAGAAGAGAAGCAACCCCTGAGAAGCAATTGATACCTGAGGTGTTGCTGGAAGGGGATTCCCCTTCCAAACTGTAAACAATCCAATCTCTCTCCTCCTCCAGTCTCCCATACACTAAGAAGAATCTTCAATAAAGGTAAGTGTTATGCTGTTAATGTTTCATTCATCATTTCCCATTGTATTGTTTACGTACTATATGTATATTTCATATAAAAAAAATTTTTTGTTTTAATACTTCTGGGTGTCAGGAACGGATTAATTGTTTTTTTTTTTTTTTTCAACAAGTTGGAAAATTGATTCGCAAATCGTAAATTTCGTTTATAGTAACGGCTCCAGGAATGGATTAATTACGAAAAACGAGGGACCACTGTACTAAATTTAAAAGAGAAACTTTCGTTTTTCTTTTTGGGCCACCCTGCCTTGGTGGGATACGGCCGCTGTGTTGAAAGAAAGAAAGATATAAAATATGAAATAACTTTTAAGAACACTTGATATTTTGGAGTTTCCAGACATAATGGAGAGACTTAGTGCTTACGGACTTCACATAGAATGTAAACAAACAGGGTGGGGCGCGGTGACCATATTAGAAAGTCTGGTGGGGGGAGCCATATAGAGAGTTTTGGTCATAATTTGAAATGACCGTATTAGCGGAACGCCGTAAAGCGGGGCCCTACTGTATTACTAAATGTAAAAGGAGAAACTTTTGTTTTTCCTTTTGAGCCACCCTGCCTTTGTGGGATACAACCAATGTGTTGAAAGACTGAATGAATAATAATAATAATATGCAATAATAATAATAATCACTCTGAGATGCATTAAATGTCATATATTATGTTAATATAGACATTTTCATTAATCCATCTGATATTTTTTTATACTCATAAAATAAACATGCTACATAACATAAACATGATAAATACACCCCACAGTAGAATAAATTAATATAAATATGAGAAGTTTTTCTATTCATCTTGCTGGAGTGTTGGAAAGAATAATGTCTTCTCTAGTTCAACACCAAAGAAAATGTGTACACTACAGTATTACTGAGGGTAACTACAGAAAATTATTCCTTTCGTATTCCTTCACCCAGAACGTCATTCCTTTGAAAAATGGTGTTACATGAGAATGGGAGTGTTGCTCTTTACTTATTCTACAGTACCAACATGGAGACAACTTATACACAATGTAAGGTGTTTATATTATAAATAATTTTTCTCTCTCCCCTAGTATATCTTCTTTTATTGTGACTACTTTTACACAGTTAAGACACTTACCCATTTTTAACTTTTAAATATAAATAATTATCACAATGGTCCCAACAGAAATAGGTCACTCTTTCTGACTTTTTATTGGTTATCCTAGGTAATTTACACATATGCTGCTATGTATGATAATCTATGTAACTGTATTTATGTGTACCTGTATCTGAATGAAAACTTACTCACAAAAATGGAAATGAACATGTATGAACCATAACCAGTTGCGTTCATCTGCTTCTTTACATACTCCATGTCTTTGACCTCTCTCATTTACTCATTTCCTCTTTTTCTTCTCAGCACTGTCCTTTACACTTACTTTCACAGGACCCATGGTTAGAAAAGAGAAATTTGGCCAAATGACTGTAAAATATGTAAGCAAAGCATGAGAGAAATGCTCCCACAGCGAGGTAAACAGTGCACTGAGTTGGGAGTGTTCTGAAGCTCTATTATTATTATAATTATTACAATTATAATAATAATAATGGGTGAGTTTCAGTGGAGTGGAATAAATGGGATTATGTCAGGGGTTTCAAATAGAGTTAGAGCTAAAGAAGGAGTATAGCAATAAT